GTACTACTTGGAAACTGCACAAGTTTCAAAGAAAGATTTCAAAACGAATATCCTATAAGATACCAACAAACCTTAAATAAACTATCAAATAGTTCATTAATCACGAAAATTACACTCTCGGAAGCATTTAAAAAAGCAATTAATTTAGTTTTAGAAGAATTAGATAAAAGTGAACTTTGGGATATAATATATAATCAACTTATCTTATTAGAAAATCATCCTTAATATCAACCTATAATATATTATGCAATACTTGGAGTACCGAATAAGAAAAAAAATATCCATATTTTTTTATGACTGGATCAGCAAGAACCGGAAAGTCATTCATGATACAACATATAACAAACATGTTAGAATCAAAAAATATTAAATATATATTATTAGCTTCTATTGGAGTATCCGCCCAAAACATAGGCAGCAAAACTATCCACTCTGCCCTCAAAATTAGACAATATAACAATCATTATCAAACACTAATATTAGATGACGAAAAATCCAAAATAGAGCTGCTAAAAATAAAAGCGATCATAATCGAAGAAATCTCTATGGTATCTGGTGAACTGTTGACTTTTATAAGCAACATATTCGGTTTAACACAAAAAAATCATAAACCATTTGGAGGAATTTCAATTCTTGCAGTAGGTGACCTCGCCCAACTACCTCCCTGTCAATGGACAACAAATATTTTACTCACCAATATGAAAACTATTTTTTCCTTCCTTCTTATCACAACAAAATGACAAAAAAAATGATCTAGACTACTACAACCTCCTACAAGAATTGAGATTTGGACAACTCTCCGAAAAATCAAAATCGATGATAACCAAAAAATCTCTGAAACAACAAACATAAATGCAATTATAAATTCAACACATATCGTTAGCCTCTGCAAAACTGCCCAAGAAATCAACTCCTTCATCTGCGATAACCTACCAATAAGTAACAAAAACCCAGAAATAATCACATCAAAACCTATAGATAACCTCAACGACAAAATAATCGATAACGAAAATGACCAATATCATTTCAAAAATCATACCAACTTACCAATCTCTATAACAATACAAGATAATAAACTCTTCGAACATAAAATATGCAATGGAAGCATCAGAGCAGTAAATAAATTTACAGATAATGATAATATAGAGATAACCTTTCTCATGACTGATAATATAACCAAAATCAACGTACAAAAAATGATGTCATATTTCAACATCAATGGTATACCAGCATCACAACGCCAATTCTCAATTCAGAATGCATTTGCATTAACTGTACATAAAACACAAGGTCTCACTCTACCTCATACCGCCCTAATGATCGATGAAAACATGTTCTCAACTGGTCAAGTATACGTAGCGATGAGCAGAGCCTCCTCGTGGAACTGTATAAGAATAATATCCTTCGATTTTGACGCCCTTAAAACTGACAAGGAAGTTCTCGCAGAATACAGAAGGTTAAGGCACATAAACCAAAAAGGTCTAATGAAATTCTGAACCAACCACTAAATAAAAGACCCAATAATAAAAATAAAAATAAATCTGAACAACTGAAAGACTATGATATAACATAACCTCTGATCAGGGCTCTCCTGCGTGTATTCAGAGTAAAAAACGCTTGTTACTATATACTAATATGACCTTAATTCTTATCAGCTTAACAGCAAAATTAACTAAGACGTAATTAAAGACATCTAAAAAAATTAAATTTTTTTTTATAGACTTAGGATATAAATTTTTTTATAATTTAAATATTCTTATGATTTAATAAAATTACATTTCGCGCTTTTTTATTGATGTTTAGACGAATTTTTCAGTGTTGTAGTGCAGCATCAAATTGTTGATTTTTCTCTATTTATTAAACTACTGTCCATTAAGCTGTATTGCTAGCACAAAGCATATGCGTAAAGCATAAAGCAATAAGCTAAAAAAAAATGACAAAACTCAACCTATATTGCACAAGCTTTACAGCATTCTTTATTATTTCATTAGACATTTATTTTCATAATACTTTCAGATATTAATATTTTTCCAATTAAATGTTTAACTTATAATTTAATTTATAAACAAGTTTAGGAGTTTGTTACAACAAAAGGTTTGGAACCAGTGTCAACAAGGAAAAGGCATTTGAATTATTTGAAAAGGCCTCCTAATTAAATGACGTAAAAGCTCAATATTTTCTTGCACAAATGTATGATAATGGAGAAAGGTGGAATTTGACTTGGAACTAACAATTTTTTGTCATATAGAAAGCCTTAAACAAGGACCACCACCATCATATGAATATGATGATGAAGAGAGATTAGAATACCTTATAAGATATATAGAAATAATATGTTTGATGAATAAGTTCTTTGTATTTTATACATTTAGGACAATAATTTTACTAGAATAAATATTATACCTATTTTATCACATAGCAAGCTTCGGTTTGCAATTATTCGGTAAAAAATTGATCTTGCCGTTGCGGCGGCAAAAATTGAAGTTTGTTAAATGGTTATGCATTTTTTTTCTCGTTAGATATTTTAGGTGACATAACGAAAATCATGTATTACCTCAAAAAAAGCTTTTGAACGATGTTTGTATTGAGGTATTCGTTATACTGAATATTAAAGAGAGGTATTGGGGAAGTTCTAACAATCCGACTTTCAAAAACCAACTCATGACTTGTAAAGTTTCCAAATATATTGATAATAATACTTGCTTTTATTTTATTTTTTGCTCAAAATGATGGACCATCAATAGCTTGAAAATTTTTGACTGTAGATTCATGTTTTGGGTTACTCTGTCGACACTTCCTGGGATGTAAGAAATTTTCGTCAAAAAAAAAAAAAAATCTCTCTTCATTTATTAATTCAAGTATTAAATCATACATAAATAACACAAAATTCTGTTAAATAATTTTAAATTTATAGGTGTTTATAAAATTAAAGTCTACTTAAAATCAATGCGCCTTTCGTTAAATTTCTGTTTAGTTAAATAAAAGGGTGTAGGAAAGCACATTGACAAAAACAAACCATTCGTAAAATAAAATGATTGCACCTTTCGAATCCGCAAGTATATCAATACATAAGATGAAAGTCGGATTTTTAAAAAAAGCGACAAGTAAAAAAATAAAAAAGTTACACTTAATGTATTTCTAAATTTTAATTATTATTGGATTATGTGCGTGTGCTTCTTAATACATGTGACGTTATCTTTTTATATAAAAATACAAAAAAAATAATGTAAAGAAAATTTAATAAATAATTTATTTTTAAACAAATAATATACTCTTATTAATATAATTTCTTTTAACGCATACGGAGGACACGGCCATTGATGCTACTGATTCAATGACTTATTGAAAATCTGATGTATTTATCACCTTTCGCCACAATGTCAGAAAGATATGTTAGTTTTGAAGACGAATCAGTCACACTGCTATCACTGTAGGAGACGGAACAAATAGTATTCCGTCATCGACTCACATGTTATATACTCGAAGTGCACTACTATTATCAAACTTATTGTTCGCCCTTTTTTTAGAGCTTTGCTTATTTTTTCATTAAAGGCAGTTGTTACAAGTAAATCGATTCTGGTACAAAATTTTTGATATTTCTGTTTGATCACGAAATGCCTTTGCTTCACGTAAAGGTTCCAATTATGGAAAATAAGCAAATTTGCTAAATTTTCAACATGTAATAGAAATCCATGATTATATAAAAAATAGAACATAACTTATTCAAAAAGAAAAAAATTTTTCAAGCGGATCCCCCGAAAATTAAAATTTTATATTATAATACAAATATGAATCAGAATTTCTTAAATTGCTCGTTCTTCTTCATCATAAGCCATTTTCTCTTAATCAGAAGTGTTAAACTTATTTCTTATTTATTAAAATTTCTTTTATTTTTAGATTTCAATAGATAATTTTAATCACTACCTTTTTGAGAATGCGTGTCGCGTTAAATGTTTGTTATAGCTGAATTTTTTGAAGAAAATTGGATGCTTTGAATCCATACAATCTTAGCACAGAATGGATATATTGATAAAATGAACTCATTTACATAATTCTTTACAAACATTCTAATAAACTGAATTTAATCTAGATATACTATGGGTTAGTAATGTTTCATAAAATAATATAAATTAATCTATAATTCTCTATTTGTTAAGCGTTAGCCTTCTTATTTTCTTATAATCTTGAAAACTGACATTATTCTGTGTAATTTAATTTATAAAATTACTTTAGTATATCATTTTTAAATATATAAAATAAACATTAAATAATAATTGATGAATTACCTTCCATAACAGTTAATTTTTCGGATTGCCGTTATTGCACAGTGTTTTCGCTGCTGTTTGTTGTTATCTGACAATAAGGTAAAATCTCAAAATCTCATAATTAGATCGATACCGTCTGTGAATAGGTGACCAACTCCATCAATCAATGTTGTAAATTATATTGTCATCCTGCATATGGAATATTGTATTTCCTGTTTTGAGATTAAGTAAATGAATAAATAATTATATTGATTAATTACCTCAACTTCGGCATTCCGTACGTTCAGGTACAGTACGTTTATTATACAGAATTCGTTATCGTTAAGATACATTCTAGAGAAATATCTAAGAAAATTATATAGATCCGATTCTATTCTTTCAGGAAGAAAGCCATCATTTTATATCTAAAATTCAGCAAGGACATATTGGTCAGATTTTGAAAACTATTACTTTAATTAAATAAATATAATAAATAATTACTATTTGACAATATTATGGCAAATAATTTTTAAGCAATTATATATATATATATATTTTTTGATAGAGAGGATTTCATGGCGTGTACAGCATCACTTATAAATATTAATCTCGTAGTTGCCCATTGATCGACGGTTCCAGGATCAGTAAAAAAGGGAAAATCTGAAATTTAATCTAATTTTGGTCAAGTGGATCAAATAAAAAAACTTTTGACAAAAATTTAGATTTCTACCTTTTCTATTGATTGCCGCCCATCTCTTAATGATCTTCTTCCCAAAGGATAAAAGGTATTCTAGGATATTTTTCATAATCATTTCTTGACCATTTAGTTAATACCCAAATATTCTCCTCTTGAGGTTTAATTCTTTGATAACATAAACTAATTGATTTTCATAATCAGGGAATTTACTTGTTGGTAGATCATCATCCTTATAAGTCCACTTAACCTCTTTTCATGTTGTTAAGAAGGGTAAGAATAAGCATGACGATACATTAATCATATCAGAAAAGTACAATCTCCTTTTGGGCCCATCGAAACTCGGTGATTGAAAAGTTTTAAAGGTAGCCCAAACTTTTTCCTCATTTAATGATATCCAACACCATTGCCATAATAATACATTCAACAATTAATCTCTCAATCTACCAACTTACAACAAATGTAAATTGAATATTTAAATTTACTAAATTCATAAATATTCTTAATTTGATATCCTGGGAATTTTAAAAAATGATCATGAACAGTTATAACATGATTTTCAATTATACCACCAATTTAATCCGGTACAACTTCATGAAATCTTGTGGCAATTGATTCTGAATACATTTTAATTTAATGCCACGAAGATATATCACGTCTTTGTTCCCGGTCAAAAATTTTATATTATATTTCTTTTTGATTGTGATGATTTTTTGATTGAAGGCGCTAAAGCTAGCCTCCTGGGCCTGCATCAATTATAAAGATTGTAGGATTTTAAGTTCACCCATTTTAATATCATTGAATTTCTTAAATACAGATATAATTTTATTTTGAGGAAACGAATTTTAAAAAAAAGAGTCGATAAAGTCATACGAGTTTCTCAAATTGGTAACATGACTAAATTATTCGTACTACATAAATATTAATGATATACTGCGTCAAATAATTCGCGTTTATTTAAGCAAACATTCACAGACATGATTAATTAAGATATTTTGAATGAAAAGATAGAATTTATTTGAAGGACTGGAATGTTCAAGACAATAGTTTTATTGAAGAAACATTTATTATGTTTCCTACACACTCAATACCCCATTAAAAAAATCTATTTATCAATTTAAGTCTTGAGCAAGAATATGAATTCCTTATAATAAATGTATTAAATATAAATACAAGTCTATATATATAAAAATTAAAAATTAAATTTTATGTAAAAAGCTCACTAGATCAGATTTAGAAATACTAAAACAGACTCGGACCTCCCCCACACTTGGCTGTAGAACTGTACTGTCTGTACAGAAATAAGAATTTACAATCCTTCATTTAGGCATATACTTGTTCAGGCATAATACAATCATTGTCTTTCTTGCACGTGATTACCGTGAAAATATTATGCGTGAATGAAGATCACACAAAGAAAACAAGAAAGCGTAGATGAAGCACTTTAAAGAGAATACTCAAAGCCAAATATAAAATTTTATAAAATACAAGCGAATAAAGTACTATTGCCAGTAAAATCCATGAGATATGATCCATAACGTGATTTTATTGCCAATGTTCGACTTACATAGCGTCGCCTAGAAAAAATGATAGTCGGATTTGTATTTCTGGCTATTTATTATTAGGGTTAGTATTAGAATTAGGGTTTGAATTAGGATTAGGATTAGGATTAGGGTAAAATTAGGATTAGTTAAGAGGGTCAGGAAATGCCACATTGCATCGCATCCCAACCGTTCTTCAATTTACTAAGTATTTTGTGAGAAATATGCTAATTGTCACAATTAACGTCACCCCTAATAAGTAAATGTGACCTGGCAAATAAAATCCGGCTACAGGACGGTTGACTATGGGAGATAATTGCATAAAAATCAGGATCATAAAATCGTATGTTCAATAACATTATGAGAATTTTCTGAGTCTAAAGAATTTAGTGATAATATTTAGCATTAGATGTATATAGACAAACTACTCTCATATTAGGGTGTTGTTAGTGATAATCCGTTTGCGCGCAACTAAATGACTGCGCCAACTAACGTCACCAATGATCACCATGAAAATTGTGATCACCGTTTTCACTGATTTCACTGCTATCATTGTAATATTCATTTTCATTATTATAACGTTTATCATTATTTTATTTACTATATTTATTTTCATAGTTATATTTATTTTCACTATTATATTTATTATCTCTATTTTATAATTGTATTTTATATAAATATCTTGCATTGTCACCTTGAAAAACTAACAAGTTTCTATCGTACAATTAATAAAAGTAAAATATTAACAACATAAAAACTATATCTTTGTCAATATCTATTTCCTTAAAACATAAATTATCAATAAAGACGACCTGACCCTTCAACTTAAATTAATTCGTGTTTATTTCTTTCATAGTTTACAACTTAAACTCCCTGTTAGCAAATAAGCTTTGTTATCCTAACGACGTA